AAATATATATTTGTAACTGACAAAAGAAGTCATTAGCCAAGGTTAGTTCTGAAATATGGCTAATATATATTTACCTCCCAAGACTGATTCTCTAGCATGATAAGTTCATGCCATCTACTTCAGCAAGTCAGAAATCTGTTGGTAGTTTGTTTGAAAATATCTGGTAGAGCTGGGTTTGATTATGGTGGATGTATGCCTGAGAAGGGAGTTGGGATACATTCATTTGGAGGTTTGCACAACTACGTAATCACAGTGGTGGCTTCTGAGAAGGAAACCCATGCATGCTGGTGCTTAATGGATAAAAGGCAGAAGACCCTTTAACCATGGACTGGCTGCTCTGTATGGTGGTAGTGTATGTTGCACAGGTACTTTTTGAAATGGTGTTTATGATTACTGAACCATTGTACTGGAATAAATATACCTCATGTGCAGAGTAATGGCTTTCTATATGTTGGACTAGGCTTCAGTGGGTGGATTCTTTTCAACACTGATTTAAAACAGAATCAATGCATATTACCCAGCCATCACTAGTAATTAGAGAGAAATATTTTTAAAAAAATATTTACCCCAAAGTGATTTACTTTAACACTAAGTTTTCAATTTGTGCTGGGTTTAGCTGCATATACTGACTCAAATATTATTTGCTCTATAAGCATTAATTTAAATGACAGCAGAAATGAATGAATACTTCAGTGTAATTGGTTTAAAAAGTGGTCAGATCTAGGTATGATTAGCTTATGATGTACAGTAAGAAAAGTAATTAAAATAATAATAATGATGACATTAAATTACATGTTGAATAGAAGCTTTAGATTCTAATTAGGCTGAGCATAATGTACTCTTTTCATATTTTTCCTAGTCACATAGCCAGACCATAATTAATTTTGACATCACTGTAGTAACTACTAAACCAATTTGTTTCACCTTGTCTTGTCTATTCAGAGAATTTTTCTAAGGGATGTTTTGGTGCACCTTTGGTAGGATGGTCGGAAGGCTAATTGAAACCTGAGAATGAATGGAATGGTTTATATTATTTTCACTCTGGTGACACAGATATACACTTATTGGGTGGCAGGTCTGTAGGTAGTGAACATAAACTCAAATGATTTTACTGTCAAGAGATGCTAGACAAGCTGTTGTGAAATAATCAATTGCTTAGAAAATTTCAGCCTATTTTCCTATTTTACCACTCCATTTTTCAGTATAGATATGCATCTGTCCAGCTGATTTGCAGCCCTTTAGTGAAAATCATATCCAGTCAAATGGACTATTGATGATAGAAGATGACTTAACCTCATTTTTCAGGCTTGTTCAGGATGGTTTGATCCAGAAGATGTTTGAAAGTTTGTATTTAATCTTCACATCCATACTGTCATGACTGATGGGAGACTGGGGATAGCAGGCAGAGGCTGGGAGCAGGTGCAGCTTCTTCTGTGTCTTGGAAACCAAATGGATGAAATTAGGAATTCTCAGCCCAGTTGTCCTGGGAAAGCCAAATGTCTCTGCTTTGCTGCTGTAATCTGTCAAGACAGGGAATTTGTGATTCTAACAGACATAAATTCTAAGATGATGAATTTGGGTCTTTTGTTTTTCTGGCATAAAAAAAGGGATGAGAGGAAAAAAGAGGGAGTGAGAACAGATTTTGATTTGTTTACACTGTAAAATCTATGGATTTGGGATTTATGCTTCCCATAACAGAATGTTTTGAGAGCACTGAAGAAGTTTTTGCCCAAATATTTTCCTTGTTTGGTTTGTCTGGGCTGATTGCATCCAAATGACCAGACACTTTCAGTGGTCAGAAGTGCTTCCAGATTGCTTTGTAAGCTTTAATACCATCTGCTTATTAACTCTCAAAATGGGGGGGAAAAAGCGGATTATTACATGCTGCATGTATTTGTTGACAGTCCTTGATATTGAACCTTGCTCAGACCACCAGAACAGTCCTACAATATAAGGAATAACCAGGTTTCATATTTTTTCATGAAATTTTAGAAGTTATATTGGTTTAAATTTGCATTTGCTTGATCTCTCCATGCTTGGCAGCCCCATTGCTGAGGCACTTCCAATTATATCTTTCCCATGTTACCATCTGATGTTTTGTGTGTCCATTTATTTCTGTCACACCTAGTTTCCAGAGCAGTTTGATTTGTGATAAGGGATACATACTAGTTAAAAAAAAAAATTGTAGATCTGGGAGAAAGCACCACCATGTAGAGACATGGGAGTCACTTCAGCATAGTACCATGGAAGGTTTATGTGATCAGTTTTATTAGAGGATGCCACTTCACAGATTTGATGTTCAACTGAAATGAAGCTCTTTGAGTGTTGTTTGTTTTTTGTACTTAGAGAGTATTAGCCTTATTTCATAATTACATGACAAAATCCATAACCAAGTTTATATTTAATCCTGCTGTCCATTGGACCTTTTACGTGTCTTAAGAGGAACACAAAATCTAGTGATATTAATTGCACCTCTAATGAAAGAGTATATTGAAATGCAGTCATGACACTGGTGGCGTGTTAACATTTTTTAACACACGTTAATGAGTTAAAATGTTTTTTAAAAGAGATAGTGGACGTATCTAACCAGCATTACAGTAGGACTTCACCTCAAATGTAAAATGTTCTATTAAAGAGGTGTGGTAATAGTTAACATCATCACTGTTGTCATCTTGAGAGTCTTTGCTACTGATTTCATAGGATATGTTAAAAATATTATCCTTAGAATCACTATTCTTCTTTGCCATGAGGTGAAATCTTCAATTTTAGCATGTATGTTTCAGAATTGTACTGTAGTTGTTGCCTACCTCTATATCAGCCTCTTAAAGAAATCTTTATGGTGTTGTTTTACTCTGTGTCTCTGCTTTTTCTGCTCTGGTTATGGCTTTATCTACACATTTGGCAACCTCATTTCTGAATCATGGTTGACATTGTCAAAATGTAGAGGTCTCATAATGTCCATAATTGCCAGCCATTTCATCAGGTTTTGGGCAGGAAGTAGTTTGGCAGTCTTTTTCAATCACAAAATTGCACTTAATTTTTCAAGCTGACCTTGATTTAGGAGGCTCTTTTGTTAATTTTGATTCACGCATGCAGAATATGATTTTTCGGTTCTTTCAGTCTTTGAGGTTCCAGGAAGATGTGATTTAGGGGAAAGTTGGCTTAGTAACTGCTTGGTTGAAAACTGTACTTTGAGCCCATTAATGCATGTTATACCTACTGAGAAACTTTTTACCCTTTTTCTTTGCCTTGGATCACACCTGTCAAATAACGTGTCAGATATTTTGGCTTTTTCTTCTTTGTCAGTGGAACAAAGCTTCTTTTGCAGTCTCATCTTGAAGGTTGGATGTTTAGATTTTGGTGCTGGCAAATATGAGCATGTACTTTGTGCAATATTTCACCTTCCAAAGACAAGATGAAAACACAGTGTTTAGAATTTCTAATCTAATATTTAGCTGTCTTGCACCTTAATCAAACACATAATACAAAGGATCAATAGATTTTTGCTTCAAGTTAACTCCGAGGTCAGTGTATACAAGAAACTGGGGAATGGAAATTATTTCATTACCAAGGAAAATCACTTACCTTATACATTTTTAATGAAAGGCCTTTAATAAAGCTACAGATCAAATTTACGAGCTTCTATGCTCACTACTGTGAAACTTTCTGCAGTCCAGAAATTAACTTAAGCAGTGTTTAAAATGTGTCAAGGTTTTGGGCTTTTTCAGTAAGAAAATATGTGCAGTCACATATTTCAGCCTACAGATCTTCTGCTCAGCAAGATGAGTGTTTGATGGAAGCATATTGTCTGTTCCGTGTGCATATCATAAAACAAGATTTTGCCAAAAGACTACTTAAAAGTATATTTTAACCATGCATCTTAGTTTTATTGTTTGACCTTCAAAATCACAGCTATTGTCAGGTTATGATGTGGTGGAATATTTTTTCTGTACAACCCATGTTTCTGGTTGAAGAGATTTGAGTATTGAAGTACTTTGGTTGGGAACAGAAAAATCATCAAGCAATTAACTGGTGCAGAATGGAGCCACTTTCACTTCTTGGGTGATAGCAGCCCTCGAACATGCTCTGCTTTCCAGAAAGTGCCTGTTTCTACTTAGATTTTTTTGTCTTTATCGATGAATCTTCTACAGTTTTGGTCTTGATTGTATGACAAACCAGCCATTTGTTTGTCTTCACCATGAAAACTGAAATCAAATGGCATGTCCAAAGTGACTCGCCTTACTGCTTTGTGCCCAGTATGATAACAGGTTGTCTGTCCTACAGCAAGTCTGAAACTTCCCTGGTTGCTTTGACAAAACAGTGTCAGCCTTTTCGTTAGAATGTGGTGCCATGACCAGGTTTTGTTCTCCAGGGTTTATTTGAAAAAGATCGGCAGAGTGGGACAGGACACTGCATTTGAAGGAATGGCCTTTTTATTTATTTTCTTCTTTTGGAAAGGATAAATGTCTCTTAATTTTGGACTGCACTGCACTAATGTGTCAAGAGGATAACCAAGCTAAATTAGTGGCAAGAGCTTGGGATCCTGGTACCAAAGCCTGGGTCTGCTTTAACAGAGAAGGGTGAGAGGTAATGTGCAGAAACCACCTGAAAAGGGACTTATACAACTACCAAAAAAAATTTCTCATTGAGTTGTCGGTCTCTCATACACCTGCCAAACCATAGTTGGGTTGTGGATTTTTGTGTTGGTTTTGGGGGTGGTGATAGTTTGTTTGTTTGTGGGGTTTTTTTTGTTTGGTTGTTTTTTTAACAACAACAAAACAAGACAAATGCATTAGATTGTAAGTCATCAGGAACACTATTTACACTCAAAATCTTTCTACTTAGAAACATTATTGTGTTCAGGTGAGCGAAGGATAGGGGGCAGGTCTGCTGTCTAATGTTTTCATTTATAACTTTTTAAAAAAAGATAATTGATATAAAAGCAATTATTTTCAGGAAATCTCTGCTAGCCAGTAGCTGACTTGTGTATTCCATTGCAGCTGCACGCTGAGTGTTACCCTGGAGCAGGCAATCATTCTGGCTCGGAGCCATGGACTACCTCCTCGCTATATCATGCAAGCTACAGACGTCATGCGCAAACAGGTGAGATGCTCACTGTGGGCAAGTTCTTCATGTTTCCAAACAAGACACAATTATCATCAAACAAGAATGACTTGACCAAGCAAGTCATTCCATCTTAATGCTGTATGATGCCTATGTGGGTTTTCTTAGTTTGGGTAGTTTTTTGTTTGTGTTGGGTTTTTTCTTGTGTTTTGTTGTTGTTGTTTGGTTGGATTTTGTTGTTGGTGGTGGGGTTTTTTGTTGGGTTTTTTTTGTTCATTTGTTGGGTTTTTTCTCAATACTCTTCCTTTATTGCTGCCTGAAAGGTGTTGTGTTATTTTGTAAATACAGAAACATGCCATTTTTAACCAGATGCTTGCTTCTCTGTATGTTTAAATAGATCATAATTTTTACAGGGTTATGATTTTACAAAATGATTTATGTGTAGTAACTGCATCACCTTACATGAGAACAGTCTGTTGACTAAGACAGTCTTTATTTTAATATATATGATCCATAAAAATAGCTTAAGATTATTAACTACTGTTAATAAAAAGTGATTCATGTACTGAATTAAGGAGAAGTATAGGAGGGAAGGGGAGAAATAAAAACCATTGTTTTAACTTTCCAGGGAAGATTCCTGAGGACAATGTGCTTATGTCAAAACAGTGTTTTTTACTCTTTGGTCATAGTAGAATATTAGGATTTAGAGGATGTTGTGGATAGATAACCACCTCAACATGAACTCTTGGGGCTAAGGTATGCCAAAAAAATACTGGATTAAAAAGCAATAGCAACTGAAAATGCGGGATACATTCTACTGTATTGGCACAACATTTTCTAGAGTATCTTGTTATCAGAAAATAGTTTCAAAGGGATGTGTCTGGGAAGGAGTTCAAAGGAGGAGCATGAGTGGTCCAGAGGTTGTTAGACAAGATTAAAGAGCCCAGCCAATTCAGTTGATCAAAGAGAGATTGAGTGGTGGCTTAATCACTCTGTGTGCATATGGAACATATATCCCAGCCTGTAGTAGCTTTCAACCTTATGACAAAATCATAAACAAGATCCAGGATGCACTCAATCTTGAAGTGAAAAAAAAAGATAATTAAATCTTGGAACAATTAATCACAGATAAGACAAGATTCATAATTTCTGGGGTTTAGATGTCATCTAATTTCATTATGTCTAAGTCCTGCTGCCTGTCCATGGGTACATCAAGTTTTCAGTCTCATTCCTTTTCATATTGGACTTTCACATAATTTGGTGCACAAATTAAGTTTCTGTGGTGAATAAATACCCTCAAGGTTCTTGAATCAGGTCATGTACATCTGCTCAGGAATTGCAGCTTTAACTTGACTTGAAAAGAAAGCTACTGCTGCATAAGGATAAACTTGCATGTATAGGTTGATATGTCTGCTCCTGAAGTTCTAGACCAAAGGCAGATCTGGGTATTTTGCAATCAAAACCAATGTTTTAGGGGTTTGTATGTACCTGCTTGCAGGATATGTTCTGTCAAAGTGCACATTTTCATTATACAGTTCTAGGCCATTTAAAAAAATCGATCTTCATTTGTGGATCTTCTGCAGTTTATTAAATGAAAATGAAAGACAAAATGAAAGAAACTCACATGGTTTTGAGCAGCTGTTACTGTTCGTGCTCAAATACAGATATAGAAAGTAGACTTCAGTGAGACCACATTCTTTGAAGTAAAGCAGCAGGTGATCAATAGCTGTTAAAGACACCAATATCTCAATACCTCCCACAGACACTGCAAAAAAGTGTACTAGTATATCAAGCCAGTCATTTTTCACACATTCTTCCTCTTGCAGGAAACCACTATGGCATTTAATAGAGTAATAATCTTTTGTTGTAATTTTAAATCAGTCTTGGAGTTCCACAGAAGAAATATAACCCTCCATTAAATTCTAAATGTTTCGTAGTAATTTAAACAATGCTCTATGGTATTTTCTAGAAACCTGTTCCAGATTTAATGTTTAAATTATCTGTAGGATTTAACTGTCAAGAGCATAATGCAGGCCATAAAACTTGGAAGGGAAAAAAAACCCAAAAAGGCTTCTTGGGGTTTGATGCAGAACATTTAGTTAAGGGCAATACATGTGCCTTTACCCAGCTTTATATAAAACAAATGAACAAATTTGTTAGCCCATTTACACCCTAAATCTTTTGTGAAATAAAGATATTAGCCACAGGGAGATGCAAATGAAAGGACATCTATTCCATCTGTTACTCAGCAACATTAAGTCCTAGCAGTATCAGCTTTCCACAAGGGGAAATTGCCTCTGCTCAAAGCTGATACATCTTCCAGTTTGGTGCACCAGTGCCAAATAACTAAAGACACCTGATTGAATGGATAACCTCAGGAATTCGTTTTTTCTTTTAAATTAAATAAAGTCATGATCATGTTGAACAAGACTCATAATAGCCCCAACTGTATTGTTGGAACAATGTTCAAAGTAGTTGCCCTGTCAGTTTTAATCACATATTCACAAGCACCTGGTCTGTGAGAATCAAAGAAAAGAGACCAACTTGTGAGAGTGGGTATGAACTTGGGTCTGTGGGATGGTTTTAGTTAAGTCATTTCTGTTTTTCATCTGCTAATCCAGTCTTGATTGATTTATAAAATAAAAAGAATTGACAGAATGTCCCAACTATCTTTTAGTAACTTTTATTTACTCACATACATACTCAGGTAAACATCTGTACCTATGAAATACTGTGTAAAGCATCTTGACAGCAGTGTGTCTTCAGGATGCAGCAAAGGGTGGAGAGGACAGAGGCCTAGGAAAGGAGAGGCAGAAGGGCGAAGGGCTCTGAGGAAGAAAATTAACTAAAAAGCTGATAAACAGAAAAGGCCAGGAGAGAATTTTTGTTGTATTTTAAGTGAGTAGTCATGTTTTCATGCCTCCTTATGAGTATAATAACAACACTACATTTTGAATAATTCTTGTAAGAATTGTACTGATTTAGAGCTTTTTGAACAGGGCATAAAGAGAACCTGTTTTCTTTATGTCACTGGTTCTTACTATCCTTAAATTAGTGCATAGCTTGAAAAAAAGCCTTTTTTTTTTTCCCTCATGGCAACAAGAATACTAGTTCATATAGAAGAGTCCAGATGGATGGTGTCGTGTCAAAGCTGCCATCATCTTTCACTAGTGCTCTGGCAGTACTGGTATGCAGGGAGTAGAATTCTAGTCACATGGCACAGCTATCCCTTATGCCTACATGAGACAAACAGTGTCAATTAAGAATAATATTGGAGAAGTATAAATTAACAGTATAGTGAAATAGAAATAGTATAATAATGCTCAGTGGTGACAAAAAGATGTCATGTAGTAGGTTGCTTGTAATTCTTGGGGGCTTTTCCTCAAAAGAGCTAAGAATCTGGTGGATTTAAGTAAGGTTTAATTTGTGCCCCTACAAAACAATAAATTACATGGTTATATAAGGCTAGACTCCTTTTTAAATTAATGCATTTGATTTATTATGTGAGCAGGATACTAAAATTAATTTGTCTAGTGACTGATGCAAGTAAAAAATAGGCTGGTTTTGTTCTCAGAGGTAGTCACAGTACTAATGTTCAGTATCTGCATGTGATTAACTTAGATAGTTTTTGCATGTATTTTCTGGCTCTCAGTGATGTTAAGCACACGCCGGTCTCAGCAGTCTGTCATGCTGAGGTTTCTTTATAATGATCAAACTTTAGAGAAGGGCACTGAGGACACTGGAGGTGATGAAGGTCTAGATTCAGCATGTCTAACTTTGTAACTGAAACTGGACCAACTATCCTTGTGTCATTTGTGACAGACCTTTGTTGTATCTGTTCTTAAAGCTCCAGTAGTGGAGACTCCTGCACAGTGCTTCCCATGTGGTCTGTTCTCGAGTTTTCTTAACCTTTCCATTAGGATGTTTTACTTTGTGCCTCATTTAAGTGGTATTTTTTCTCTCTTTCTTTTTTTTTTTTCTTCAGTAATAGAATAGCAGATGAAAATCAGCGGGGTTAACTCTTAAGTGAAGAACACAGAGGACAAAACAATCCCTAAATTCACATTCAAAATAGTTGACTGTGAGCTTGCCACTCCATTTAATGTTCAAGACCTCAGGATATGATAGAAAACATCAGCTCAATTCTAAGCAGCTATCAGGAAAGCAGAAGTTACAATGGTTTAGGCAGGGATAGACGACAAAGTAGAAATCATGCTGTCATGATCCTGCATTTTGAAGTATCTGATGTTCTTATCCCTTCCATAAGAATACAGCATAATGGAACAGGTTCAGAGATGGTCAGAAAAAAAATGATCAGTGGTTGAGAACGGTGTATAGACAGAACAGACAGACAAAATAACCTAGGATTGTTCAGTTTCATGAGTGAAGGAGTATATGACAGACTTGTAAAGAACATGTGTCACAGGTAGAGACTGACCATTGTTCTCGCCAGAGCAGAACTAAAGCCATCAAATGAAACTGTCAGATTCAACCCAAATTAAAATAGCAGAAAGCTGGAGACAGATTTTTTTCAAAGGCATATATTGATAGAACAAGGGGTAATGACTATAAAGTGAAAGAGAGTGGGTTTAGATTGGTTCTTTAATTTAGAATATATTTTAGAATTTAGATTTAGAAAAAAAATCTTTACTGTGAGGGCGGTGAGGCACTGGAACAGGTTGCCCAGAGAAGCTGTGGATGCCCCATTCCTGTATGTGTTCAGAGACAGGATGGGCAGGGCTTTAAGCACCCTGGTCTAGTGGAAGATGTCCTGCCCATAACAGGGGGTTTGAACTAGATGGCCTTTAGTATTCTACCAACCTAAACCATTGTATGATGCATGATGTAACAAGCTAAGGTTGTACCAAAGATGTGGATCTCCTTTCACAAAAAGCTTAGTGGTGTGAAATTATTAACGGGTTCAAGATGAGATGGGAAAGAAGAGA